ACCAAAATGTATTATTACTACACAGCATCAACATTCTCTACTTTCTTTCAATATTACATGTTTGTCATTATAGCAAGGGATATAAAGATTGCATTAATTTAATAGTAACATTATTCAGTGCACGACGTATTTTATAGATCATTATCAGAGATGACCAATCTGTTTTTGTTAGAACTGAATGACGCTCATGCTCGATGAATAAACAACACAAAAAATCTTAGAATGATAGATGTACACATTTTCCTAAATCGCACAGGGAATCAGAGAAGCATAGAAGCGAAAAATGTCAACTGCAGATGACAATTAGTAAAAAACGCAACCAAAACATTTTTACTTATTTCCAACTTTTCTTTTTGAAATGATATCATGATCTCTCTAAAATGATTCACCAAGATGATATCGTGATCTAAACATAAATGAAATAAAGGCATTTGAAGTCACGGAGCACAGTCTTTCACTCACAAAATGAATCATTATTCTCATCATCTAACCTAGTCTCATCATTTTCACTAGTTGAATGACATGAAATTTCTGTTGGATCTGATTGACTTTCATCTTGACCGTAGGCTCTGTCAATATATGTTAAGATTTTGCCGACGAATGTTAAGCTTACGACGGCGTCGATTAACGGCCGTTGTAGGCATTTATAATTAAGTTTAATAATTGAGTTTTGATCAATGATATAAATTATACGAAGATGTTATCTGAAATCAACAGCAGAATGAGGAAGTTTTATTGTTGCGCAGTGAAAACGTTCAAGGAAAGTAAAAGATTTCTAGTAATCCGACATTTCTTTTTCAATGTAAATCTGTTCATTATTCAAACAAACAAACGGACAATCAACCATAGCTCTCCCTGTTCTATCAAAAGTAGCGGAAACTTTAATTTAGGAGGAAAAGTGAGGAAAGGAGGACGACTACGATGCAAGCTATTCGTTCCTAAAAAGAATGATCCTCGGCATTTTTTGAGTAACTTTTTAACGGTGAGAGTTGGAACTATGCGGTTTTCAGCATTCGATAGAGGAGATGATAGGAAGTGAAACTGTGGAAAAATCAGATCTTCGGATCAGGTCTACTATGGTAAATCCTGCTGTGCTAAGTCCGAATGCTGTCCATTTCCAAGCAAAAAATGAATTTTTAATTTTGATATGTTTTTTCTATCCTCTGGAGTGTGCTCTTTAAAACTGAACAAGTCCTGTCTCTCTGTCTATTTTGGTTCGGGAGTTACAGGCATTTTCCGAGGACCTACCTATCCTTCACAATTTTAGCTTGCGAACTACAAAAAGAGATGGACTATAGGTTATCGACATCGCTGATCATCGTGACAATATTTATTCTTAAAGAAAGATCTAAAATATAGCGAAAGCCAAGTTTTTAAAAAATTAGGGTTTCTGCCTGTTTGCACAATTACTCAGAGAGCATCAGAACAAGTTCAGAACTTCAGGATATAGTTGTCCGCTATACATAATCACAAAATGGAAAAAATAAAAAAATGATGTTTTGGTCCTGGGGTTTTTTAGAAAATCTTTGGAAAACCATAAGGTTTTAGAACTTTTTCTTGTTGATTTCTTATAAACAGCCCCAAATACTCTACATGCTGAAGTTTTGAACTTATTCTGATGTTTTTTGAGTGAACTGCGAATTTTATAATAATAGGTGAAAACAGGCAGAAAATCCTAATTTTTGAAAAACTTGGTTTTCGCTATATTTTAAATCTTTTTTTAAGAAAAAATATTGCCACAAGGTTCAGCATAGTGGAAACTTATGTTTCCATGCATTCCTGAGATTGATGGACTGAAATGAAGCGCAATCCGAGAGCACTTAGAAAAACCTTGTCCTCTGCGTAACCATGGCAGATGAAGCTCTCGCTTAGGTTCTGTTTTATTGAGGAGACTTTAGTCTAACTATTCATGAAAAAAAATCAATATATTGCAATGATGTCGAATTTTCCAGTTAGGAAACGGTTTTCCAGAGATCGCCTTGAAAACCGATTTTTGAAAAATATTTCTAAACATTTTTTGTTTACGAAAAATGCTCTTACAAATATGCTATCGAACACCAAAAACAGCTAGACTTCATCTACTTTCGTCCAGCAGTTATTCAAAGAATGCCCACCGGTCTTATATTTTGGTTTCGATAATAGAATGGAACAATCGAGTAAGCGAGCGTCGAGTAGTCGAGTCCGAGTATCTCGACTAGGAGTCGGACTCGATGCCTGGCTACGAGCGGTAGATCAAAGAAAACAGGATTGAAAGAAAGAGTTAAAAGACACCAAGGTTATCATGAGGTGTCTCCGGATGCCACAAGTCTTTTTGGTACTTTCTTGTGATATCCTACCTTTGTGTAAAATAAATCTATCTATCTATCTATCTCACTATCAAGAAATTTGCTCTGTATGTATTTATTTTGAGCTCAATCTCTAGCTGAACCTGAAATGACTGCATCATGTTCCCGAAGAGAAAGCCGGGTAAAAGATGGTGCTTCAAGTACACTTTACAGAGGGAATTTTCTTGCTCATAAAACTTGTACTTTTTGGTGCCATCGTGAATTAAAGTTAAAACCTGTTTGAGAAATTTTAGAAGTTTTCTCAGAAACTATTTGAAGATAAAAGTATGAGTTTACATTTCTGTTGGCGTTTAAAGTATTTAAGAAACGTATTTGAACATATTCTGAACATTCTGATTATTTCTTGCTGTAGAAAAAAGGCTCTTAAATGCTTTTCCTTTCAAGTATGCCGATCTAAATTACTTCTTTGTTTAATTTCTGTTCAACAGCGAAAAAGCTTCAAAGAGAACTGAACGAAAAGTCCAAAAATCGTTATGCATATGTAATTTTACGTGCTCTGAACTTAGAATTTGGTAGTTAAATCGGAAAACGAGTTTTTGTCTTAATTAAATTTTTCTAAAAACTCGTCTATTCCGGATGATGCGTGTTTCCGAAATGCCAAACATTCAAATTTGGATAGAGCTTAAAAGTTGACGTATACTGGTAGATTATCAGTATGTGATTGAGAGACATCTTTTCTCACTGAAATCACAAACTATAAAAATCGACTAAATGTTCTTATGTCGATGACACGCTAGAAAAATAAGAACGTGTTTTATCATAAAAAAGTGAAAAACTTAATTTTTAAACGTTCAGAAGCATTTTATGCAAAACCAATGTGATATTCGAAATCTACGTAAAAAGCTGCATTGAATGATATATAATTCGATGTGTTTTGAGTAAAAAAGTTTTTGTCCAAAATTTTAGGCAAAAACCTGAGGCAAAAATTTCGATTGAAACTTTTTGTCTGCCTTCAAGTTCAAATTTAAGTGAACAGCGTTTCTCGACATGCCCGATCCGAATATCGCGGTCTCCCGGCTTGAATCGTTGCGAGGAAAAAGTGGGTAGTTTTCATCTGAAGCGGTGTAAATGTATTTCTCAAGCTAATATTTATATTTTTATGATTTCTTGGTACTGAGTATACACATAAATTACAAATCCACGCATCCCTAAACATTTCAAGTTCGGTCCGGCCCGACCAAAATACTTTGCGGCCCAAGCTCGGCCCGATCCGACCACTCAATAAAATTTTCTGTCCTGGCCCGACCCATACTGATCACTTGTTATGTATATACCAGAGCTCCTGCCGATCCACCCGACTCGATGACCCGGCCCGGGACCGATCCGCCTCGGATCAGGTCGGGCCGAGCCAGTCGCTTTTTTTTCTCGGATCGGGCAGGCCGTCCGAGAAAAGTTTTAACTCGGTCGGGTCAGCGTTTTTTACGGTCCGGCCCGGCCAGAGAAATTTTAAAATTTTTCTCCATATTTTCAGTTAAATTTGGCTATTTCCCAGTAGCAATATGTTATTATTATTTAGTGAATTCTGTTGAGAAAAAAGAGTTTGATCACTGGTCAATTCAGGTGACTAATGATAGAAGAAGAAACAAATACACCATCTAAAGGAATTCTATACTTTACTGAGTTTATTGTTCAATAGATTCTTGAACATGTGCTGTACAATATGTATATGCTGCTGAACTAATCTTTAGCAAAGCTTTTACTGCGTTTTTGCCATAACAAAATTGAATTGAGTCTAGAAACAATTACAGTCGGGCTCAAGCCGGGCGGTCCAGGAAAGACTACTGGCCGGGCCGATCGATTAGCATGATGGATCGGGCAGACCTCGACTTTTGTTGACCCGGCTTGGTCCAGGCGGGCCATCAGAAATTCACCCGATTAGGACCTCTGGTATATACTGCCACTATTATCACTATTTTCGTACTATGCCTTATGTGCAATTTCGTAAGCAGTTATGTGGAAATAAATACATTTAACGTTGGTAAATGTAGTGTCCATGTTTAAATTTGTCAGATGACAACGTATCTCGGCACCGATATCACAGTGTTAAATCAAAATTATCTCCGGTTTTTATATGATTATTGAAACTGAAGCAGTCGGCGTACTAATACTATTCTCATCTCGTTTCGAGTAAGGAGCAGTCAAGTTCATAGAACTCTATATTGATAAAATTCAGAATTAGCGTCAAGTATTCAGAAATCAAAATCAAGCTTTTTCCTAATTCAGAAATTCATAAACAACATTCAGTACAATAACTGAAAAGTTGGAAATGTGACTTTTTATGAATTTTATGAATTCGAAACTGTCAAAAATTCTGTGAATTTGTATGGAATCGGTTTGATCACATATTCAAAATAGTCATAAATCGACGAATTGCGGCCATCAGAGTAGACTGTAGCCTATGATTAAATGTTGCGTAGCGGCTCACTTTCATCGTCCCACCCCACACCGCACTATGGTTACAAAGAGACTTCCTATTTGTTAGTCTCTGAATTAAAACTTATGTATTCTTTCAATTCCTGAATACTAGAATTCCAAGAATTGTTCAAACCGATTCGATACAAATTCAAAGAATTTTTGGCTTCTTCGAATTCAAGAAATTGAGAAAAATCACATTTTGAATTTTTGTATTCTTTCAATTAAAAAAACTCAAAAGTATGGCTCAATTTCTGAATTCTGAAATTCCTAAATTCTTGAATCTTTCTCGAATTGGAAAAAGATGAATTCAATTTATGAATGAGCCATATTCACATCCTGATGAGGTCGCTACATGTAGACACTGTTTTCTTGCGTTCTGTCTATACAATACATGCAGCCTCCGCAACTTCTTTGGCTAATCTCACTGAGTCCCAGTCAAGAAAGCTCAACTATAGGAATTTATTTCATATTCCCGATGTGTAGTGAAATAAACACTCGATACTTTAAATAGTTTCACTACGATCTACTTTGGATCGACGAGCAAACTTTAGTTCATTGTTTAATTTCCTATAGTCATCATCAGTTAGCTATTATTCAGATAAATTCATATCAAATTTCACTGTACTCGTTGTTTGATATTGGCTAAAACCCACACAGTTAGTTAGATGTTTTGAACATCATGAGTCAATAGAGCTGATAGATCAAATTTTGGAAATGTGTTATGTAAACTTTTACAAAAAGTGAGATGGACGAGACGACACGGTGAGTGTTCTCCTATTATCGGATTTTCTGAAAATGGGAGAACGGTATCCATTCATTCGCATTGGGTGCGCACCAATTGCAGAACAATTTTTTTATTATTTTTTGGTATTATTGATCAGAATTTTTTGTAATACGTTCTACAGATCTGGAAAACATCTTACGTGAAACAGGTTCTTCAAAACTGTTTGGTTGACAAAGATATAAAAAAGCTTGCCAGTGTTGCTTCTACGATGCAAAATGTGGAACCTTCCGACTGAACTGTTGGATTATAACATAGAACATATGTAACATAGTAATAATATATCGTAATCATTTTTAAAACTTGTGTCTGAAAACATCAGATGCGCTGTCTGTAGCAAAATTTCAAAATGATTCTAAGAAATACCCCGAACCCCATTCCCTGAAAAAAATTTGTCCCTACTTATTCGTATTGTCGCTATACTTCGAAAATCAAAGATAGGAATTATAAGAAAACGAAGAGTCCTCTTTCTACTTTTGATCTTTCCTGTCAAAAATCCTGGCCACATGCCTGGCTCATTCACCATTTTTTTTGAGACCACAAGCAGTGTAGTTTTTTTTCTTTAGCTATAGACTAACCAACAATATGTAGCCAATGTAAATAAATTAGATAAATTCAAAATATCCTATCGTCAAGATGCATGTAAACCAATTTTAATAGTCCTTATGTAGTATATTTAAACTTAATGAGATATTTCAGATAACTTGAAATATCATGTATATGTGGAGTATTAAGATTCAACTTTTTCCAAAATTGTCTTGATACTTTCATATTATTACTAATTATCTTCATTATCTTCTCCAAGGAATGGCACGTTGTCTGACTGTATTGTCAGATACAAACGAGAATATGAAACATTTTAACCGGATTGTCAAACGATTGGTTTAATGTTATTCATAGACGATCCAATAACGATGTCATTTGAATTAATAATTCATCCGTTTTCTCTTTTTTCAAATAAAGAAAGATGGAAGCGACATAAAACGAAGAATCAGAAGACGAAAAAAAAAGAAAAAGAAAAAGTTTGAGGATATTTTTGAATTCAACTACAGATCATTTTTTTCTCCTCTTCTAATTGCATTTTGTCTATCTAATTAGACACACCATGTTATAAAAATTATTTAATTTAAATATATATTTACAACGACGTGTGTACGTCTACGTAATAATAATGTATACCATCCAATCTGGTACAGATATTGTTCCTCAATGGCCATATCGATCACCATTTTACATGACATCATTATTTCTCATTCCTGATTCAAAAACAGCACCATCTCCCTATCACTCATCAAATAATTATCATTTAGTAACAACTCATAACAATAAATGTGCAAAAGAAAATGAAAAATATTTATTAACGAAAAATGAACAGAAATATCAAGCTTTATTAGCAAAACCGTAAGTTAAAAGAATAAATAACTAAATCTATATCTTAACTTGCAGACAATGTTATAAAAAGAGATTCATAAAAATCGAGCTTCTAAGACTTTGAATCAAGAGGGAAAAGACGGCTCCAGGAACTTTCCGAAGCCGTTGAAATGCTTTCCGATGCTTGAGATGCTCAGCATCCGATGCAGAGCGATGCTCTCCGATGCTGAGGGATGCTCTCCAATGCTAAGAAAGAAAAAAGTCGCCATTTCTCCCTTGCTTTGAATATTAACGTTTTTTGCTAATATTAATTTGAATAAAAAAGAAAATGTTGAAATTTATCCGAATTGAACTTTTTTTGATTAAATTTAGTGTAGTGATTAAATCAAAGAAATACATTGTTCTTAAATATGTATGAATTTCAATTTAGATTTTTGAAATCAACTAAAAAATTATCATTTGATATTGAATCAATTTTGAAGAAGCATGACAAACATCAGCATAGTCATTTTAATACAAGTATTGATAATGATACATTGAATAATTCAAGTATCGATGATTGTGATGAGAACGATTTGGTTAGAAGTACATTTTGTGCTAGTCCAATATCATCCTACACCATTTATAATCAATTAAAATCACTTCAAGAACAACGAACAGCAATACTCAATTTTACGCGTACGTATCTACTAGGAGTTTTTTGAAAATAAACAATCGTAATGTTGAATCTAAGAATTTTAGTTTCAAATACATCGCCATTATCTGAAAATCTATCTGATCATTATCGAGTCATTAATGATCGAAAAGTATTATTTTCACCATCATCATCACCATCATCAACAACACGAACAACAAAAGCTAAACGTATTCGAACCATTTTTACATCAGAACAATTAGAACATCTTGAAGCTGAATTTGAAAAACAACAATATATGGTTGGAAATGAACGTTATTATTTGGCAACAACATTAAATTTATCCGAAGCACAAGTAAAAGTAGTAGGTTATTTCGTTTTTTTAGATTGAAAAAATGACAAATATGTCTATTTTTGCTTGTCAATCAATCTATAAGTATATAACATATAATATATGAATGTTTTAGTGGTTTCAAAACAGACGAATTAAATGGCGACGACAAGCACTAGAGGAACATCAACATCGTTTATCAATGTCAATTAATATAACGGACGAGAGTAGTAATAAAAATAATGATTTGAAACGAGAAATAGAACGAGAAAAAGAAGATGAAGAATCAAAATGTGGTAATGATATCGATTTAAATGAATTTAATGATTCCACAGATGATGAAAATTAGAAAAAAAATATAAACACATAAAGACTTTCATTAAAAGTTATTGCCATTTTTACTAAAACATTTCAACTAGCTAGTAGACTTTTTTTTTATTATCAGTTCTACATTATCTACTTCATTCTCGTAATCGTATGTGTCGAACTACAAAGTCACTGTTATCTTTTACATTTCAACTATAATTTTATGAGAGATTAGAACTTTTCCTGGTGATATTTCAGAATTTAATTTTCGTTTAAGAAACAATAAGTTAACATCATTGAAAATTTTTAAATAAATAAATAAATAAATAGATATTTTCATAAATGACTCCTTAATTCACACTATCCTATGAAATGACTTGTTTTCTTAAATGGGAAAGATTCTATTTATTTTATATAAAAAGAATAATGAGTATTACACCCATATGTGTTATAGGAAACATATAAAATTATTTTCACACAAACAACAAGAATTAAGATTATTATTTCTGACTATTTTTTTCACAATTAATCGTTAGAAAATTCTCACTAACGAGAAAATAAACAGAAAATAGTATATTTGTGTGCTCTCTTTTGTCTAACTGGTTAAAATTTATGAATAATTGTTTAATAGTATAAATGAATGTTCATTAGTTTTAACAGGTTTAGAAAGTGTTATGATATAATGAACGTAAACTACTTTACTCTATTATTGACCCAATTTATAAATTTTAATCTATTCTCTCACTTGTGGTGTAGAAAAAGATCATCGATTTTTACAGATGAACATGTTAGAATGAAAAATAAAAGGATAAGATAATTTGACGCTATACTGTTTTTACAAAAGTATATATATGAATTGAATCTTATGTTCGTTTGATACTAAATGATCATTGATAATTTTTTACATTTTACTATAGAGTAAAGCTAAAAATAATGTTATTCTTTTTTGTATAAGAAGTTTTCTCTATCTAAAGTACTTTCTAATTTATAAGGATATTGTACATAATGCTCAGCTGTGATTATTCTCACACAAAATATATTTCTTTGTTCTTTCTGTAGTCTATTCAATCGAAGAATAAAAAAAATAGATGATGAGTATAGAGAATTTATGATTAATAAAACGAAACGATTTTTTTGCTTTTTTTTCTACTTTGACTTGTGATGTGGAATCGAACAATTGTCGTATTCTCTCTTATCCATTTAGAATTTAAATCTACTTGTACTTTATTTTCTTTCATTATTGTGGCCATTTTTTAATCCCTTGTTATTATTCAGTAAAAAAGACATGAACGGCAACGATATTTAAGCATGATATTTTTTCTTATGAAGCATCATTTCCTTCTGAGAGATTCAAAGGTTCTGTTAAATACATATTTCGAGTTTGCGTTCAGAATCCATAATAATCGGTGTTACATTACATTTTTGTAGTATTTTAGAAACAAGTCGAGAGTTTAAAAAGACAAATCGATCTTGTAGAACAAGATCAGCTTTTCTCTTAACAGTAAGATGACCTGGAAACTTACAGGATTCTTTTTTGAAATACATCAAATATACTGCATCATCATACTAAATCGTACACAGTTTGGTTAAAATGCGCTTATTCATTCATCCTTTTTCATCATTAACACCAAGTGTTTTCAGTTTTTCTCGATTAAGCCTTATCATAAAACAAAACGTTTTTTCGCTCGATAGATAACATAGCTGTATTTTGTTTTCAGTTGTATACTCTTTAAAAAAAGAAATATGAAGTATATTGTAGCTGATGATGACTATAGTCTGAGTAGAAAGGTTCTACATTATTAAACAAAATACTGAATTTAGTTGAGTTCTCCGTACAAATATTATTCACGTTTATTAACATTGTCTCAACAGACAATATCGGTGTACACAAAATCATTCTCACTCTTCTAGCCTGATGCCAGTTTGCGAAAATTTAGCACAAAAAAAATCTTCATTTTACACATTGAATTTTCAAACTTTTGTGATAAAAGTGAAATAAAAAGCTGACATTTTTCTATAAAAGATATTTTAAACATATTTTGAAAGTTTTATTTGAAAAATGAAGCAAATTTTTCCACCGTGGGTGGAGTGCTTTTAATAATGAGTTGTTTTGAATTTGTTTTCTTCTCGAATATAGAAAATCTAGGGTAAAGTAAATATTTGAAAAAATTATTTCTTGTTAACAATCGACGGCGATGATAATGATTAACATTTTTTGTACGGTAACTCAATTTACTCTAATTTATTGAACAAATGAAAAGTTTATTATCATACATTAATAATAAGTTCTTAGTATAAGTATTTGTTCGAAATATAAAGTCCGGCTCAAAAGTTTCATATTTTTGAAGGAAAACAAAATTGTAAATTTATTGAAAAAGTTATAATACGTACCTGTGGGTATAAGTATCAAATGCTCTGGAAACAATATATTAAAATAGACACGCAAATTGCGATGAGTATTTGTTAATATTAATATGCTTTTGTTAATGGTAGAAATTTAACTATTTGCTAGAGAAAAAAAAAGTCTAAATTGATCTTATTTCTATTGTCTTCTTCTTATTCTCGATGACGTTAAAGTGTTTAATTTAACTATATACATGACATATATGATAATAGTCACTAAACAAACTTTTCTTTTCTTCTATAAGTGATCGAATTGAACTGTGAGAATATGATAATAATGAACATTTGATGTTATTTCAATATGCCACAAATTACATAAGCACATAACTAAATGTATGCATAAACAACAGCAGATAAATAATAATCACTTACGGTATCAAAAAACGAACAGCAAACTTTTATTTACCTTGAATCAGTTTTTAACTTAATAAAAATATCGATTAATATTTATTTTTATATTTAAAGTAAAAGGTTCTGTTCCTCTAAGTACAAAAGAACTTTGGCTTATTATAAAACGTAAAAATAAATTTTACATCAGTATTTTTAAGAAATGCATTTGCGTGACAAAAAAGGTAAATAGATCAGCAAAAAAACTAAAAATTTCAAAATTATAAATCAGATAGATCGTGATATTGTTGATGACGCTGAATACGACGACATGGGTACTTTGCTACTCAAAACTTCAGTACACTATGGATCAGTCAATGAATTACTATCTAAAGGCAATGTTTGAAACGTTTCAAAACATTTCACACTCCAAACCTCATCTAGAACATCAAACAAATATTGTCAAGAATTAATTATAAATGTACACCGATAAGTGAAGTGGAATACATAATATATAAACTTTATTGTTTCTCCTATTTGTGATGTAGTTAATATAAAGCTAAAAATGTTTGTAATAGCTGAGCATATGTTGTCGTTAATATATAATTTAAATAAAACCTAAATATTAAAATAAATAAACAGATAACTGAATGTCAATATTTTGTATAACTTCCATATTAGAAACTAAAAAGAAATCAAACGAATTGAAGCATAAAGTATCAATTGAAGTATATCGTGAAACGATCTATTACTCATCAATCTTCAACTTTAGTTTAGGACAAAAGATGTGCAAACAATTCGACATTACCAGATGAGATAAGTGAAAATTAAAACTGACTACATTTTTTCAATTGAAACTTTATTGTAATCATGTTGCATAATACCATTTTAAATGTTTCAATTTTTTTTTCAGCTAAATTCATTTTATTTCAATTTGTAATTTATTTACAATAGATATTTCGATACTACCGCATCATCGTCAGTACAAGATTTGAATGAAAATTCAAAACAAACTAAACTAACACATATTTTGACCAACTGAAGTAGAACGGAAAAAAGAGTAAAAAGAAAGGACCTCGTGTATGTTTAAACATATTTTTAAAAAACATTTATTGTAAAAGTTCTGCCATTTACCCAACTAAGTCGAAATACCATTTTAAATACGCGTAGACATTGCATCCAACCGAAACAATAATGAATAAAATGTCCAAGAATGAGATCAACTAATATCAAAATATTTGACCAAATATTCTATTTAGAAAGAAATTTATATGTAACTGTAAGATATTTAATATTTTCTATGTATTCTTTGTCAATGGCATGCCAGAAAAGTTGATTATAATGAGCTACATTGACTAATTAAAAGTAGTAGGACAACGCTAAGATCTAAAAGTTGAACGGAGAATAAAATTTATTCCATTATTTGACAATTCTTTCTTCTTACGCTGCTATTAATTATATTATGAATATTACTTGATCTAACCTAACCATTTTTACTTAAAAACAAGTGCAATTGCAGGTGTAACCATGCATCAATACCATTGAGGTAAAAATAGCGCACAACCATGACAATGGACATTTTCAAAAGACGAGAAAACACTGGAATACCATTGAATTTTTAAATTATATTTATTTTTTTATGTATATTTTATAACAGTAAATCAGTTGGACATTTTTTCTATGACCGCTAAACGTTGTGTTTTCTATATAATAAATGAGAACAATGTTAATAGTAAACAAGACAAAAAAGAATAGAGAAGAAAAATGTACGACTCGATCAATTTCTACCACACTAAATATTGATTTGACGTAAATTCAATTGCTTAATTACATAACGAAATAATTCTATTTGTAGTTGAATGTGAGATAAATAATTTCATATAGTAAATACATCACATTACCGATACCTAATTTATAGTCACAATTAACATACGAATAAGCATTATTAATAATTCTTATCTTGATAGACTCTTTTTTTAATATTTGTAATAAGAATTGATGATGTGTGTGATGACGGTTAGCAAATGTTTCCTTTCTTTTTTCTGGTTGCCTATGTGGTACCTGTGATAGTGTCTGCAGGTCTCACACTTCTATATCTATCTATGAGTATCTGTAGCTTGATTCAGCTGTCTGTATAATTTTCTAAACGTCTTCGATTGTCAGTGTAATTTAGTAGATGTCTGTTGAGACTCATATTTTGGGTGTCTGTAATATGGCTGTTCGTATAGCTGTCTGTGTGTGTCTGTGAATGTTTGTGTGCTGTCTGTAGGTGTTAGTGAGTGTCTACAACTATCTGTGGGTGTCTTCATGTTTTACTATTACCCAACAAAGGGTCTGGGTGCGCCTACTGAAAGCCAACAATGCAATTTTTTGTTTGATCAATCTCCTCGTCCAGTACATTGCTAGTTGACATAGTACACTACTATGTCAAACGTTAATAAAACATATCCCATTTCAAAAGATAATGCAAATACGTACTGACAAGATAAGCAACATATGCGTGAAATGCACATATTTTACTTGTAAAAATGTTAGTCTACATTTCTAAACTATCATATACTTCAAAGTCGTTCTTTTTACACAGGTGCGCTCTCACAGTAAAATCAGCTGTTTTCCTTTTCTATCAATACCTATTCTCTTTTTCACAACGCTAAAAAATATATCATTGCTATCTGGATACGCTGGATAGTCACAATAGTCATCAACCATCCAGGAGTGGAAACAAGGTATCGTTAAATACAAAAACTGATATGAAAGCATCTTTACTTCCAACACTGTCGTATGCGTGAACAACAGGTGCCTTAAAGAAATAGATATTCGATATTGGACAGAAATAACAAAAGAACCTTCCCGTGAGGAATGCTCCGATCAAGGACGAAAGCTAGCGAGTAGCAAAGGAAAGGATCGAAAACTAGTGTAAAGATACTATTAGTCTAAATTGCAAAATCTCAAGTAAGACGTCAGTGAACACAAGTGCTGTACGTCGGTAGTCGGTTAATTGACGCCGATGACAAAAGTTATATGATGAAAACCGTAAATCATTTGGAAACGGTCGTCATCGCGGTATTCGTTTATTATTCACTCCTGAACACGAAAATTGGAGTTTCTCGGAAAAACATAGTTTTACGAGATAAATCCAGTTATGAAGTTATAAATCGCAAAAATCGGTCCCTTGTTCGTCATTTATCAGGAGAGACAAATTTGCCATGTAACTTCAGAGCTCATGTGCAAGGTGAGTATCTGTGGTTGTATGTTTGCGTCTGGTATCGTTTCACTAGTCGCAATTGCAACGGTAAAGACTCATGGTACTAATGACCATAAGTATATCGAAATCATTAGTCAAAGGTTGCTGCTGTTTGCTGAACAAAAAGTTTAAACTAAAAGTGAAGTGGTCATTCATGAAAGACAACTCGTTCGCCCACACATGCGTTTGCAGGAGAAAATGATTTAAAAATATGAAATATTGAGCAGTAAAATAGTTGACCACACCACTTGATCCGAGTCACAGAAAATCTATAGGGATAGTTGCCAAATACTGATACAAAAAAATAAAAAGAGTTGCGATCGTTCTCGTTATAAATTATTATTATTCTCAAAAGGTGTACGATGAAAATAACGGTGTTTTTCTACTTTAAATCGCAAAATTCTATTTAATAACCGATATATATTTTGCGTTCTACTCAGGCAAAAACAAGGCTTTTTTTGTGAAAAAAGTTTTTGTATAATATAGATGTTTGATTCCTTTTTCAAGAGTATATTTGAATAGAGTACACTCAAATGCATATATTCCTGTACTTGTAAGCTTCTGATATGAGAAGAAAAAATTAAGCGCTCAAACCGTTTCTATAATTTTGTCCAGTATTGTATTGAAAAATGAATAGTAGTAACAAGTGCTAGATAAATCTTACCATCAGTTTTAAAAATTTTTGTCTATAAATGTGTCATCAAGTTTTAAGAAATTGGACAAAAAATTTTCCGATGAAGCTTCTGTACAAAAAAAAGAGATATCTGCCTTTTCCACACGCCGTAATATTTTATGTATTTATTGACATTACAAAAATGAAACTACATTAACAAGGAAGGCTGTGGTTAAAAAAATTAGCAATATTCAATTGTACTCTTTTATTTATTTTTCGATACAGCTATCCTTCCATACTAGAACAATCAATAAATAACAGAAGTCTAAACAGATAAAAGAAAAGCAAAAACAAAAATATTTTTCTTTAACACAAATTGTATAGACTCATAAACCTACTGAAGTAAACAACACATACAGTTTCATACGAGTAATACAAATCAACAAATATGTAAAAAAGCTATTTGTTTTCAGTGCAAGAAAATTATCAAAAAAAAAAAAACACACTAAAACAACGATTATGTAGAAATATAATAGTTGTAGCAGTTTTGAAAATGTTTTCATCTTCTTGTTCGGCCAACACAAACGGTGGTCACCGGAGAATGAAAAAACGGCTGTTATTGTTGAGTTTTTTCTACTGTCCAATATAAATTATAATATACAAAAATATAAAACAAAGAATTATCTCGAATAACTATAGGTTGTTGTTGTAATGGATGGTGGTGGAACAGAGGATAACGTTAGATTACAACCAGAGGTTTGATGATCACTTAATTGTCTCTCTAATTTGGATATTTCTTGTCTTAATTTTTCAGCTGTATCATTCAATTGCTTATTATTATCTTGTAATTCATTAACACGTTTTTGAAGTTCGGCAATACGAGTTAATTTTCTTGTACGACATTTTTGTGCTGCCTAAAGAAAAATAGATCACAAATCAATCATCTTCACAGAACATTTCAGCCTAGTCTCTGCGCGCAATTAATTTATATAATTGAAGTTGTTTTTTTTCCGATAAAAAGTGCATGCTTAAACATGAAGTGTGATGTGAAAGAGATAGAACTCGTTCTACTAGTCTTCTGTTATTACCTGTCGATTTCTTTCTCGTTTTTTTTCTCGTTTAATCACTTCATTATGTTCCATATTTATTCGTTCAACTCCCGGTACCATATTCGATGTTGCGGTTGTCGTTATTAATGATGAAGATGACGGCACATGTTGAGGTTCATCTTTGATTTTTCCCAATGGTATACTGCTTGTATTCATTATTGACGATGATGATTGTGTTATTGGAGATGGAGAAGAAGAAGTGGATGAGCCATTGACAGATGCATCCATTGATGAAGAATGAGATCGATTTCGTGATATATTATTCATACTACCACTATTGTTTGTGTTATTGTCAGTTGTAAAAACACGATTATTAATTTCTGTGTTTAGTGTTGTCGTTGAATTATTAGACGTTGAAACAGATTTTCGAAGCGCATTAGCTAACGCCGCTTGAAGTTGTGGACTATTTATTTGCATAAGAAATTGTTGCGCTAATGCACTACTGTTATTATCGGACGAAAGTGATACTGACGGTTGCTGAGATGATAATTGTTGAATTACTTGTAATGGATTATGGTTAGTATTGTTGCTATGAGTAATATTTGGTTGTGATTGATGTGAACTAATTAGATCTTCTAAACTTTTTATACTTGGACTCGGTGTACCGTCGCTTATAAACGATTGTTGCTGCTGTTGAGATAGAGCATTTGTAATTGAATTAATTAAATCAGGTGTTTGCAACTGAACAGTTGGGGTTGATGTATTTGTGACAATATTTGTATAGCCGCGTAATTTTTCATCTAACTCAGGTGTTGATAATACTAATTTAGAATAATCACCTGGTGTTAACATTGAATGACCTGGTACTGTTTGTCGGTGAATATCTAAACTATTTGGACGAAGTTTACGATCAGCAGTTGTTATGTTGAAACCAGGACGAGCAATCGGTGGTGACATATTGTTATGTGAAGTCGTTTGATTTGTCACTACTACACTAGAATTATTGGGAACAAATGTTGGATTTGATGTACTAACACGTGGTGGTGATGATGTAGTATGAACAGTTTCGTTCGACGCAACAAATGAAAGATTTGGTTCTAAAATTGATTGTTCCTGTTTATTCTCACAATTCAACATCATAGTGATTCGTTTTTGTTTTAATTAATAAATAAAATAAAACAAATGGATATCTAGAAAAAAACGAACAAAAATTGCTGTATTTAGTTGAACAACACGTTCTTATTCTTCTTCAAATACGTAGAAGACTATATTTTAGGTTTCCATTCTGAACTGAACTGAATTTTTATTTTTGCAAGCATAATTGTTACAAAGGAAGGCTAGTTTATGCTAATACAACACCGAAAATAGTGAAGAAATAAAGAAATACTAAAAAGAGCAAGTTACATTTGAAATATAGACTTATCTGACAGACTCATATATGGCACCGAAGGGGAATGGTAACTGATGTTCGTTTACCACATTTTGTTAATAAGGCACAAGAAAAGTGCCTAATAACTATATCATGTAGTCAGCTAGGTACTCAATTCATTTTTAACTCCTTTAACGCGTTGGTTACTAAACAATCACTTTCTTCGATGCTATGACCTCGCAATATAGATCAAGAGAAAACAAGTGTTAATTCCACTAAATGAAATAATAAAAAATTTTTCCCCTACTGAGTCTTGTAGAATGATGTTCACTAATCCTATTACCATGTATTCGAACTCTGTATCATGTTTCATTTAGATCCTAAGAGTATTATGACACTAAGAGTCTAAAAATTTCCATACTCGTGTTTAGACCGCTAGTATTGCAACGATTCTAGCGTAGAATCTAAAAGTTTTTTTCCTACAAAATTCAGAAATTGCTGTCAGCATGTTTTCAAAAAATTTTGTTGCTTGGGATTTTACACCTATTTTGCCTTGTAGAATTTTCCATTAAACTCTAACTTCTTTAATTCAAAAGCTAGCTAAAAAATTTTTTTCAGACTGAAACTTCAGGTTACAATTCTTTTAGTGAGAAAAGCCATAGCCGTGTTGATCCCTGTGATAAGGGTATACTAACTTACCTGTTTTATCGACAAACCTGAAGCGTGACAAACTGATGTTCGTTACGTTCTGTACATGATTAAAAAAAAATACTTGTTTTACTCATCGCTGTTTTTAAACATCTATATAATCCATGTGACAGTATAAAAATCTTATTGGGATATTTGTTTTATGTCTGTTTCCTATTTATACATTTTATTAGCTATGTACATATACGATTGGTATTGCCCTATGCTTTTTATCGAAAAATTTCTTCGTTCTGCAATTTACCTGTTGAAAAGAATTATAAAAGGTATGCATCAAATTTCTTACAATCGCACACTTTACGTAGGCTACAAACAAAAAAAAGAAAAGCGGATATGTTGTGTGACAGTTATCTGAATCATGATCGTGACTCAACACAAAAAACAGCCATTGGTTAGAATCGCTATCAAATAAAATAAATCAGTAGACAAAAACGGCAACTATTTGAAGAGCTCGTCTCTGTTAACAATTGTTAAATGTGGTTGAATAGAACTTCAGAGTTCCAATTTTCTACTTTCTACCTTCAGATAAGTTTTCTCCGAGAAAGACATACAGTATATTAGCGCCTCTATTTTTTCTACGAACAGTCGAATGAATTAAACGATTCAGCAGGATTTAAAGAATTTTATAAAAATCTAATTTCGAAGTATACGCTTTCCAGGATGGTATTTCATAAAAATTCTTAAGTGCTCGACTTAACTAAGCCAAGACTTAAGTCTTCGTTTTGTATACTTACGTGTTAATTTTATATACTTAAGTCTGACTTAAGGTCAGATGATGGCGATCCAAGACCATTTATTATGTTTACATTTGAATTATTCTTAGTCAAAGCCGCATATTTTCATCCACAAATCACGTTTGTTCCTTTTGTTTGCCATTCTGAATAATCCTAGCTATATTAAATAAATTTCGCGTCTTTCAAACATCTCAGCATTACAGTTTGTCACTCCTACGCTGTTAAATCCGAAATGTTTTTTTTTATTCAACTATTGCTGATTAGAATAATCTCCCAGAGTCAGTTATTTGTCTTTATTCTTTAACGTCGTTCAAAACAGCTTTACTTCAGTATCTCTTCCAGTGAAACATGTCAGTTATGAATTAATATTGTTCTTATTTTTTTTTTAAAAAAACTTTTTTACTTTCTTTTTTTCCTTTTTACTACTTCTGGTCCTAACGTTAGTTGTCTCGTTTATTCTATTCTTTTTTTACTCTTTTGATGTTGCTTGGCTTGAGTCATTGTTATTACAGGTCGGCGACCTTTGATGACTCACACTTTTCGTGAATAAAACAGTCTTAGTCTTAAAAAAAAAAAATGTCCCGCATTATTTTGATTTCATTCTATTCGAATTCCTCATAAATATAAGTTCGTAGGTATTTTGTCACTCGTGTAAGTGTGATTTGTATTTTGCTTTCGATCTATTCTTCCTTCTGTATTACACTCGTCTAATGCACATTATATTTTTGTATTAAACATTTACTGAACTTTTTTCGGTCTATCTTCTAACAACCTGTTCTACATATATTTAGAGCAAATAGTTTGTCATTCGCATTAACAAAGTCGCTGACATTTTTTTGAAAACTATAAACTTTCATGAATTTCATATTAAAGAATACCTTTCTAAATTACTTCATAAGATCCAGCGCTGATTTATTTGTAATTTTCTTTCTAGGGCTTCGCTAATGCAATTTGTTTAGATATTTGGGTGATACATTATACGTACAAGTCTAAATAATTTTTTTGAATGATGGAAAGGTTCGTTTCTGATCCAGTTCTATAGTAACAGGTGATGCAATATTCAATTTATTAGGACCGAAGCATTCAAAACGTGAATAAATAAAGCTAATGAATTGCACTTTCCTCAACTGTATTAAAGGCAAGGGACGATGAACAAAAACTAATACGTATTGCATCTTCTGTGCTGTACAAGTAAAATGATATCTTGCTAGCCAAAGTGAACATTTTCGTGCGACATCAAAGCATGTCTACCGGTATATATACAACAATCCTGAATAAACAAATTAAATCTTAAGTCAAAAAATGACAGATAAAACAACTGTAGACAAATATTTGAATATTTTCTAAAGACATACAGAACAACAGGTATCAGAATTTAAAACGAGATAGGAAAGATATTGAATCGGTATAAATAAGATATGAGCGACAAATTAGCACAATGCGTTAACATCATTTTATTAGTTTTCTGTCATAAAATAATATTTCTATATAAAGTAGTAGAAAATGAGTCTAAAGTAAGAAAAATAAAATAAATACACATTTACTATATGAAAAGCGTAATGAAACGTCATAAAAATATAACTAAATAAATAAACACTTAAAGCAAAACTTTATAGATAAATAGAGTCTAACAAGTGTTGTTAAACCGATCAACAGAACTAAGAAGTTCTATTGTTAATAAATACTAATATAGTAAATATATCTACTGTTTCTAACTGAATACGAGATTAAACAAAGCATTAGCCCCCATTGGTCTCGAAAAGGTTTCTGACAAACTGTTAAATCCGTCTGTGATCAGCTCCTCTGAGTTTCTTTTTTAATAAATCTCGATCAGATAAACAAGATTGCAGTATGATTGATCTAAAATGAGACACTTGCAGCGTTCAAAACAAAGCACAAAAAAATAGAAATGCTTATTAAAAACCGTAAGATCATATAAAAAATAGAAACAAAACAGTGGAATATTTAAACTTTTGATTCTTCCGTAACTTTTTTTTTATCATAACTGTATAAGAATGTTGCACCTATAACGAATGTTGTTCCAAAGTAAAAAAATCTAAATTAACAAAAAAATTAACAACGGATACATTAAAAGCTGTGTGATGATAATGTAACTTACAGTGTTGGCTCAAAATCATGTAAAAGAAAGTAGGACACTATGGATGATAATATTATTGACAAAGATGTTGCAAATCCTTTAACTATATTGTCGGCATATTTAATAACAGCGGCGATTAGCAAACCACCAAGACCCTAAACGAGATAGAATAACGTGTATATCAAGAAAAAATAACAAATAATAACTAACAACACAGACAAAACCTAAGAAAGTAATTTCTTAATACGTGATTTTCAATGACTTTTAATATATTATTTAATATATGTATTGAATAAACATTAACTTTAGAACGGTACTTACCTGCAGAAGCACAACAATCCAAACAATAGTGGTGTATCCATTAAAAAAGCCTTTTTGTGATACGATGCTATAATCCATTGTGTAAACAATAATCAGGCCGAAAAATACTCCAAATATGGCTTATAATACAAAAGGAACAATATAAGTTGAAAAATGATACATTTCGAAAAACATTTTCCTTTACCTAGTTGAATGTTTCGTATCCAAACTGAAGTGGGGCTTGTTTTTAGTATTTTTTCAAAATAAATACCGGCAAAACCACTGGTTAACGTTGCTGATAAAACAGCGCCGAGGCCAGTAAATTGTTGAAACCAACTTGCTTTATTCAGAGATTCTGTTTGCTTTTCATCAGGCCACTAAAAACAAATTTAGTCAGTAATCTTTATTGTGAATGAGATTATTCGTTCTTTACCTGTACAAAGGCAACTCCAATGGTTAACATAAACAATGAAAACCATTTTAGTGCATCTAATTTTTGTCCAAGTATAAGCACAGCGCATAATGCTGTCGTGAGTATCTTCAATTGATAGGTAACCTAAACAGCAACTTTTTTTGAGTTTTTCTTCTTGTTCATGTTTTTTCTCTTACCTGATATGTTGCAGCATTTAAATAAGACAATGCAATAAATAAAAGATTATTTTGAATAGCATATAGACCACTTGGTATTGCTAATTTGAATGTTTCAACAGGTTTACAATAGATTTCATCATGCAGCGTTTTGATAAGACGAATTAATGATCGTTCTATAGTGAAGAGAAATAATAAAACTAAAATAATAAAAAATTATCATCGATATACCTTGCTCCAGCCATACAAGTACAATGCACATAAGAGCTTTTAAAAATTCTGCTGTAACAATAGCTGTTGATGATAAATAACGATCGGTCTTTGTTTGAATTGTTCTTGAATAACGTAACAGAAGTACAAGACTTGTTGTTTGTAAAACTAATAAAAATAAACTTAACCATTTGATGGTGTTTGGTTTTGACATCTAAAAAAGGAAAGATATTAAGATAAAAGTGTGCACTACGCATATATTTGAAAAAAACAGATCAAATAAAAGAAAAGCAGCCGTATTATGCTTACTTGTTTCCTTGTCTTATTTATATTCAACGACACATAGTTTAACGAACAGTTAATCTAAAAAGTTATTTTGCTAATAAAACCCAACGAGAAGTACACCGCAGTATTAGACTAAAAAAAATTCAAACATTCACAGAATAAAATAGTACAATGCAGCCCAGATATTATTAAATACTAGCAACAGAAATGAAACGCCTTTTGATTAGAAATATGGTGAATAATCGCAGAATAATCGTCGTTTGACATTCTGTTACCTATGCATTCCTGGGAAGCTCAAAAAAGTTATTACTAAAGATTGCTTAAGAATATAAGTCGTTCTTCAAAGATCAATTGTACAGCTGAACTTCTATCGAAAGAAAGTAGCTCAATGGAAGCAAAAAGAACTTTGAAATAAAGCAATTAAGGTATTTAAAAGTCTGCTTCTTGAGAAACAATTATATTGTATAGCTCTTTCCACCAAGTCGAGAAAAATTAATATTATTCTCAGTTAAAATTGAAACATTCTATTAGTTAATTGAAAGACCTATTGGCATATCCAGCTGATATATTTCTAATATAAAATAAGCAAGCTAGCTTATGTAGCATCATTATTTTTTGTCTTACCATAGCTAGCATGCTTTGATATTTTGAATGACAAATTTTTATTGTACAATAATTCAAATTGTTATTTGAGACTTCTTTCTGCGAGACCAAAAATCTTCATTAAGATACTAAAAAAAACCATACAACATTTTTATATACAAATCATATAAAAGTTTCATTTTATTTCTGTCGGATATAAAAAAGAGAAAACAATATGCAGAAATGTTTAACATTCCATTTCAAGAAGTTCTAAACTGTTACAATAATATCGAAAATCTTTACCGTCTACATAATCACTGATATCAAGAGTTACTTCACAAGTTTCTCAGACAACATGATAACAATCATTATTATAGAGTTTCGATAATTTTTGATATTTGTTTGTATCAATTAAGCCTAATGTTTCGCCGCATTCATGTCAAATCAATGTTTGTATAATTTGTTTATTTGATAGTTTATTGTATTAATTGAATATAAAAATTACAACTGTCAAAAATAAATGTGATTTCATGACGATACAATGCGTCGAATATTGAAAAGCTATAAACAGATGAGATATATCTCAAATCTGTTACTACTATTTGTCTATATAGACAAGTAGTACGAAAAGTGGATGATTACAGCTATACAAATCAAACTGATTAATGTCAATTCAACTAAGTTATTCTAAACTTTTGGATCCAGGCAGTCAAGAAATGGAGTGCTGATGCCCACGCATAAATTCTAAACCTTACCATTACATATAGTAAGTACAGCATTATCATAATGATAGACCAAACATCGAAGAGCAAATAAAATCGAACATTCAAATAATATTTTGCTTTTCACCTAATAAGATTATTCGTAATTCATTAGTATCATTAAATCATACTGTAGTGTAGGATCGATTGTTCAGTAAAGTATGAATTTCTCATTAATATCATCAAAGTTAGTTTCACACAATCATTTCAATTTATCAAGAGCAATTTGACATGTTTCAGCTAAGTTAGAAAAAGTATGAATGACAACACGTATATAATGACAAAATAATTAATTTATTTTGGGATGTTGTTAAAAAATATTTGTTGTCATAACGGTGAATTAAATCTATTGTATCGACTACATTTCAGAAGAGAAATTATGTCAAGAGATTTTCTCGATTGTATAGTCGCTACCTATTACTTTCATATCGAAGCATGGACTCCTCTGTGTCATCGTTTAATATAAAAAGTGAGTCGAATATTGGTTTGTCATTTGAGAAACAGAGTAACCACATTTCTGTTTCTGTAATGGTGAGGGATCACTAAATTGTAAATTAACAAAAGGGCATTATCAATTCATATTGTGAATAATTTTAAAAATTGTGTCAGCATTATTTAGTATGTTTCAACATAATCTAAAAGGCTAAAAACAATCGGTATCACACATTTTCAAAATCAAACTCAGGATTGGTTTGAGGAAATTCAAATTCAACAGGCACAGAGTATTTGCCGCTTTTACATTATGAATATTTTTAACTTTGGTTTTAAATAAATTTTAAATGAAAATTTTTATTTGCACCGGAGTAAAGTAAGAAACACCTACCTATGATTACGAATTCAGTGACGTTAAACAGAAAATTTTTTTTGACGTAAAACAGAAAAATTTAAATGGAAACACACTTGCTAGTTTTGTGACATATATGAAAAAACTATTATTCAACTCAATTCAATTTATTCTAAAATGACTGATTGGTGGTCCAATTAGCTCACAAATCTCCCTCTCTCTATCGGATAAAGAAAATACGACTGTGGTTTTTATCATCTACCTTTTAAAGCCACTATTTCAATGGCTTCTATATCTGCTCAATAAGAATAACATATCTATTTCCCTAGAAAAGGCAATCCAGTTACGCTCCAACGAGCACTATGTTCTAAAATACAATGATCGATGTAGAAACGTTTTTGATTTGTTTACTTACTTTGTTCATCCAACGTTGTTCATCATTTCAACTTCATGATATATCGGCTGCGAAATCCGATTGCTCATGAATATCTACAAGTCGTATAACACTGCATAGGCTATAGCGGAATTACTTCTATATATGCTTAGATTTCGCAGTTACATGTAACACGGTAATTTGCTTAGATGCTTGAAAAGTTTACTACCTTCTACTTGAAATGTGCATAGGTGTCTCACTAAATCTTATTTTCTGCCTCATCGTTACTACATTATTAGTACGTTGATAAAATTACTGTGGAAGAAAAAAAATGACTACTTTTTCCTGTTCGACTTCACTTTACGTAGTTGTACTCTGTGAAGTAGTCGTGTTAATCCATTAGAAAAAAATTTAAAAAACAAAAAAAAAACAACAAAAGTATTCTAAAAAAAACAGGAGTCTCCTGCAAAAAATTCTTCCTGAATCCGCCCTATATTTAACTATTTACCCATCAAACTATTTGAATATTAGTGGACGAACTTATCAGTAAAGAATTTCATAATACGAAAAAAATTACAAAAAATTTACAAAAAAACAGCAAAACTTTCAAAAAAATAATAGAAAAAGTGAAATGGCAGCACCAGCGAATTTAAATGCAGGTTATCCGATGGCATCTTTGTATGTCGGTAAGGAAAGAACAAAATTCATACAACTTAAAGGATTTGCATGCATTTCTCCACGTTAAATAAGTAGATTCTGTTGAGCTAGTTTCCTTCAGTTTAGAAATTAGACTGAAAACCTGTATTCTGTGCTTTTCCCAAGAATAGTAGCGATTTCTCTTTGTCGAAGCGTTCGGGGATATGCATAGGCTTTGTTGTATTCTGATAGAGAAAGACTCACTGTGATCACATTTGAATAATTCGTACCGAAGAACTTTTTTTATGGCACTTATTAAACTGCTGTGATCTTGCTTTGTTCATATGAGGTACGTTAAAAATCAGACCACTTGCAAGAGAAAAAAAAATCAGCTCCCTCTGTTTTCTTTGGTAAAGAGAGGAAGAAGTTTCTGTTATTTGGTCTCGTTTTACTATGTTTTGTTTGTTTTATTCACACCTGAAATTTTGCTTTCCATATAGGTGATTTGGATCCGGATGCGTCTGAAGCTGTGTTGTTTGATAAATTTGCTTCGGCTGGACCGGTTTTATCCATCCGTGTATGTCGTGATATGATAACACGACGTTCACTTGGCTACGCTTACGTTAATTTTCAACAACCAGCTGATGGTATGTATCAAAAGTTTTCCGTTTACCTTTTTCCAATTAAGTAAAAAATATTGTATTTTTATCATTGTTTCACAGCTGAACGTGCTTTGGATACAATGAATTTTGATGTGTTACGCGGAAAAGCAATGCGGATTATGTGGTCACAACGAGATCCAGCATTGCGGAAATCTGGTATTGGAAATGTATTTATTAAAAATTTAGACAAAAATATCGATAATAAATCATTGTATGATACATTTTCCGCATTTGGAAATATATTATCATGTAAAGTTAGTATCAATAATAATTTAATTGACTGTTAGGAGTTAGCAATTGTTTATCTTTCTTTAGATTATGACAGATGAGCAAGGTCAAAGTAAATGTTTTGGATTTGTTCACTTTGAAACACAAGAAGCAGCTGGTATGCTATCTCAAACACGATTAATGACTAGATGCTTATTTTTACTCTTCTTTTTCCAGATAATGCGATCAGCAAAGTTAATGGAATGTTATTGGCTGATAAAAAAGTGTATGTATAGCAGATCGGAAATTGTCATCCCGTCCCATGTTTCTTCCCATAGAGTTCTGATTTATAGTATATCTTGTGCATTTTACAGCGTGAAAAAAAAGTTGGTGAACTAAATATGTTTTTTCTGTTTTTCCACATACTACATTATGATAAATACATTTGTATCATAAACAATGTATCTTTTTTTACATGCAGATTTGTTGGTCGATTTATGCCACGAAATCAACGTTCTGATATCAGTGGTCCTCGAAAATTTACAAACACTTTTGTTAAAAATTTTGGTGATCAATTAGATGAACAAAAAATGAAAGATTTATTTGCACCATATGGAACAATAACAAGTTGTAAAGTAAGTGGAAGAAATTTCCGTTTAAAATGCAGATATCGCACAGTTTCCAGTATTTTTCAGGTCCCTGTTGATGAAAATGCACAACCAAAAGGTTTCGGTTTTTGTAGTTTTGAGAGTCCAGAAATGGCTGAAGAGGTGAGTTTAATCTTTATCCGTAGACGTCTTCACTGTCAACAACTATGTTATTTTCTCTAAGGCTGTAAAAGCATTGAATGGATATATGCTTGGTGATAAACAATTATTTGTTGGGCGATTCAAAAAGAAAGGTGAGCGTGCATCGGAAATGAAACGTCGAAAAGAATTACAACGACAAGAAAGAATGAATAAATACCAGGGTGTTAATTTATATATCAAAAATTTGGATGATACAATCGATGATGAACGATTGAAAAAAGAATTTAGCAAGTTTGGTACAATCACAAGTGCCAAAGTACGTTAGTCTGGTTTTTCTTATGCTTTTACAGACTATTCAATAAACTCTTTATGTATTTGTTTGTTTATTCGTTCAGGTTATGGCTGATGGTGAAAGATCAAAAGGATTTGGTTTTGTTTGTTTCTCGGCGCCGGATGAAGCAACGAAAGCTGTTACAGAAATGAATGGTAGTATTGTTGGTTCGAAACCATTGTATGTTGCATTAGCACAACGAAAAGAAGAACGTCGTGTCCATTTAACAAATCAACATATGCAACGTATTGCAACAACACGTATGCAGAACCCTCCAATGCAAATGCCATTTTCAAATACGATGATACCTTATTTACAAAGTACGGGACTTCATCAACCACGAAACTTTTTTCCATCTCAACCCTATCGTCCACAGCCGCGTTGGTCACAAGGGACAATAAGACCACAACAAGCCGCGTTTGCTGGTCAAACATATGCAATACCACATCGGGGTCGTCTACCTACAGCACAAAACATGGCGACTGGTTCAATGCAGCAATCATCGATTCGTTCAGCAACTATGATGAGTAATCATACACATAATCGCGCACAATTAGGAATGCAACAACGTCCAACATCAGGCATGTCTCAATCTGTTGCGCGCAACGTGACAACACCACAAATGTCGGGCATGCAAGCAACATATGCTAGAACACAAACTGCAAGAAACATGCCACAAACAGTAAGTGTGAACAAAGTTAAAAACCAATTCTCTATCAAATAGTTAAAAGTGATTCAATAAGCGCTATTCAAGTGCAATTTCCTGTAGTAAAAATAACAGTTGAATTGCAACTTTGCATTTAGCCATCTTTTGTAGAATTTTTTTTGAAAGAGTTCTATCTAAATGTTAAGTTACTTACTAATTCTCCGAGATTTTTGTAGGACAAGAGTTGTCAGAAATAAATAATTTGCTAAATAAGTCGTTGATGTGTGTTAAAGCTCAGTTCACCTATTTTTTGTATTTAGAACCCTGGTCATTTTCAAAATTCGATCCTCGTTCCTGGCCAAGAACCATTAACACCAGCTGCATTAGCTAATGCAACACCTCAAGAACAAAAACAAATGTTAGGTGAACGTTTATTTCCGTTAATTCAGCAAATGAAACCAGACACAGCGGGTAAAATAACGGGAATGTTATTAGAAATTGATAATACAGAATTATTGCATATGCTTGAATCTCATGAATCATTAAAAGCAAAGGTATATACTTTTTGTTGTCTGCATCGATATTACTACACTGTTATCTGTCTTTTGTTAGGTCGACGAAGCCATTGCTGTACTGCAAGCGCATCAAGCAAAACAATTATATCCAGGAAAACAACCATGTAGGTTATGCGTTTATTTGCTTTGATTTGAAATACGCGACAGAAGTTGATATGTATCTAAAGTGATCGGTATTTTTTAAATATTTTAGCATCAAACTCAGGTTCCTCATGAAATCGTGTATGTATTTGGATGATGAAGAAGAATTAAACATAAAAACAACAAACTGTCATGGAAACAAAAATTTAGTTATTTTTGCCTATCAAAAATTCGTTTATAACTAGCATCACGTTTGTTTTTGTGCGTGCGTCATTTCTTATTTTCATTTATTTGTTGTTATTATTGATCGTCATTAACCTGTTTGTTATCTTTGTTTTTTAACGAGATCTGTTGAGATTCAACTCTGTCTCGGAGTAAAATTTACACAAATGCATAAATATCAAAGTAAAATGTAGCGAGGTACCAGTCTATCGGGAAGTAAGAATTAAAGAAAAGACTCTTTCTTCATTTCAAAAAGGAATTCGAACTTCTATTACAGTGGAAAGTATGCACGTACACTTAAATTATTAATTCTCAAAAGTAACTCAGGTCTTACATGTAGTATTCAGATTTTATTAAATATAATTTTTCGTGCAATATACAACAAACACTTAGTCACTCTAGTAGTATTATAAAGGTAAAAAATTGTAGAGAAATTATCCACAGTTTAGTTTTCTTCCCACTACCTTTACTTTCTCACATTACATAAAATGATAGACGTAAGTTTATGATACTTTTTGTTTCTGATTTAGTGATGCTGCAAAAATCCGAAAAGTAGTTTGAGTAGTTGACAGAATTTTCAATCGGTTAGGATGTACACAAAAATTCTATAGAAATTGTTCTATAACTTCTCTGAAATTTCTGTTTTATTTCCCTCGAAAATAAAAATTATGTGATCTGTTGAGAATATAATTCTTATAATCGAAAGATGCAGAATTTAGTTCAGAATTGAATAAGATAGAAAGAGAATGTTCTAAAATGTTATGTAATATTGATGATGTTGAACATAAACTGTATTGTCATTAGCAATTGTCCAATGAATTTGTTTACACTTGATATTATTCATCAGTTTGAGAGATTGCATCCCATACATCAGATGTTTTGACAGATAGAAAACCTAAATCAAATTCTTTTGCACACAAACTTTCCATTTCTTTTTCAATCTTTGATACATTTATTTGATTCATACTTAGAATATGTATTTGTTTACTTATTTACATCTGATTCACAATCATTTTTATTTCATTGATACGAGTAATTCATATATTTTCAACGAAATGTTTGTGAACTACTGTCCGACAGTTGAGTGTTTGATCGAATGGTACACTACATTATTTGTATTTAGATAAGGGTCAGCTATGGAGCAACAGATTGCTTCAGTTCTAATAGGATACTTATTGTTCGAAGTTTATCTAATTCTAGTAGCAGACTTTCACCACCAAAGTACTCCACGATTAGAATCCAGAGGATTAAGATCAGAGGTGGGATCGGTTTGGTCTCAAACAAAATCGCACCGAAAACGGTTCGTTTGAACTTTTCGACAAATAAATCGGAATCGATTCCATTTCTGGTTACGATTAGGTTATTACTAATAAAAAATAAATCAACGACAGCTTTTTTGAATTATCAATTCTAGACGGAGTTTGTCGTGAACAAGAGATGACATAAAAGGGAGATGCAGAGTACATTATGTGCTTATTCATTTTTTATTGCCGAAGGACGATCAGAGACTTAAGGTTTATTTAATCTCATTTTATGCAGAATTCAATTCTTTATCAGACACATTCAGGGTGCCCAAATCCAGTTTTTCGAAATCAGGAGTTTTTTCAGATTTTTTTTTCGAAAACAGGAGAGTATCAGACAGTTTTTTCTTGGATAAGCAGAACAAAAAAATTTTGATGAAACAGTATTATCGTTTGTTACAGACTGCGGTACGGATTGAGGAAAAAGTTTTTGATCTGACGGTTTTGGAAGTTCACTAATCTCATATTCTTGTGATGCGAACATTCGATAATCACCCAGCCGACTCTTTCAATGTACAATTATTTAGACTCTTGCCAGAAATTCTGTTTCTGAAACTGACAATCTCAGTTTTGGAAAAAATAAAATCGATGCAGGAAAACAATTGAAAATCAGAAGAAAACCTTAAAAATCAGCTCCTGAAATTAGGAGAATTTTCATCAGAAGAAAACTCTAAAAATCAGGAGTCTTCTGGTCAAATCAGGAGATTTGGGTACTCTGGACACATTTTATGAACAATTTCCGGATACAGGATGAAAAATGTAAGTTTTAAAGCAAATTTGCAATGAAGAAATTTGTGTTTTATTGACATCCTGTCTGAGGGGTAGAGAAACGCTAGAATCAGAAATGGTAACAGTCTAAAAAGTTTGCGGCCCAAGCAGAAAGTCAACCTGGGCCCATTGGTTTTTTAACTCTATGGGGAATGTCCTAAAAGTTTAAAAATCCTAATTGCACACCTGAGATGTCAGTGTCATCCACTCACTAATTAGTCGACCCAAAGTCCTACTGCTAAATCGAGATTCAGATAGTGTGGCACACGGGTTAGAGTTGATCACTATTTTTCACTCTTCTCAAGTATATATCAGAAAAGGTTCTACACAGTTAAAATATATATTTGATCTTTGGATCAGGTAGAACTTTGATGTACAATGTAGCACAAGTTGTACTAGCGAATCTAAATCGTCCATGTTGTGCAGTCTTAGCAACAACAGAGTAATATACATGAACGTTTCTATTAGATTTGTTTAATTAGTTGTTTAATTAGCCAAAAGAAATTTTTAATTTGGCTCAAAACGCTCAGTTCTACATACAATTTTCAAAATATAGAAATCTGGAGATAAGACGTTTTGTGTGTTGTTATGTTTATTCTCAACTGAGCCTAATGGAAAGTCATTCTCGGAAATGTCCCGTGTCATCATGCCAAAAAGTATACGATCTTTCAACGATTTTTGAACAAAATTAATTAACAGCTAGAGATAATAACTAGACTATGCCTTCATGCATAAAAAAAATGAATAAATTTTTTCTGTCCTATTCTAATATATATCACAGAATTGCCCCATAACATGCGCGTTTATCTTTCAAATAAACACAGATAGCTATATGATATATGTGACACACATGGAAAAAGAAAAAAAAGAACTGTTTTAAGTAAGACGTCATGTTAGTTAGTTGAATTCTTTTATGAATAGGTGCTGTTGAGAAAACAGTAAAAAGCTCCAGAAATCGGAAAAAAATTGGAAAACCAAAATTCATTCAGAAAAGAAGCTCAAAATCGGAAGACTTGGCAACCCTGATCCTCGGTGTAAGATCACTTTGCTCGGTGTAAAAACGACCAAAAAACTGGCCGTAATACGGTAAAAAACGGTAAGTTTACAACTCGTTAACGTAGACTTAACGGTTAACAAGTTAACATGCCGTTAACTTGGCCGTGTTTGAACGTCCTGGCAAGACACCTGCATCAACGAAAATTGTTCTATTAGAACCTTTTCATCTTACTGTCTCGCATTAAAAATTTTTTCGTTTCTTCAAGATTGTAGAGCAGAAAATTCCGTTTTCGATGAGCGAAATTTGACTCCTTATTATTTCAGAGATATGTCAAACATATGATCAAGCAGCCAAAAAGCAGAGCCATTTTTGCACATTGTGCGTACTTTGGTAGTGGAATAGATCTATCTCTTCAACGATTCATAATAAAAAAGTGAAACTATAAATCCAAATGGGCATATCGAAAAACATCTGGCAACCCTGACAATCTTAAGAAATTGATTAAAAAGACTGAAAATTCTTTTATGGGAATTTAAAACAAGGCGTATCTGATTCAGGTTTCATTCTCGTTTTGTAACATCATATACTTCATTCCGTTCTGTTCAGGAAGGTTGATAATACTGTATTCATTTTGTTTCTCTTCCTAATTATTTTATTTAAAATTTGTTACGTTTCGTTGTAGTTTTACAACTTCGTCAGACATAAATATTTTTAACA